CACCAGTTTGACATTTTTGCCCAGCTGTTCGGCTGCTTCTGCTGTATGATGCCGGAGCCAACAACACAACAAAAAAGTTGTCACTTTTTAAAGCAAATGCTAGAAAAATAAGCTGAAAGTTACTGATTAGAAGGAATTAGTGGAATTCTACTAATTTGTGCTAACAGTGGGAGAAGTCTAGGTTGAATGGAAGCAAATGCAGCCAGTCAGAATGGACACAAAATATAGAAAACCAGTCATAATCGAGTTTTTGAGAACAATTTATCAGCCCAGTTACTGAGGCTTGTGCATTTATTAGGGGAGACAGAGGTGATGTCACTCCCAGGTGAGCTAACTCAAAAATGTAAAACCAGGAGGGAGCGCTGTGGTTGGTTAGATTTGGTTTTATGGGCTATGTCACATTAGATTCTTAAGTGAATTTCTATTTCACATCTCATCCTTTGCTAGGACTAGAATGGATCTTTGAAGAAAATCTACAGGGCTGGGTCAAAAATAAGTACTTCTTATTTTATAAATCCTCATTCCAGAACAAGCTGTTCAAGGTGCTTGATCATTTTGAAATCACAGTTAATCAATTAAGTAGTGCTTTAGTCTGTTCCGGGGAGGTAGGTACACCCAGGAAATGCAGAAAGCGAACAGCAAAACAGGAGTGGTAGCTTGAAACACGCCTCAGTACACAGTTGTGAAGTGACAGTGTAGGAGACTTCTGATGTACAGAAGTAAATAAGCATTTGACACCTATTCCGAGGGTCCCTGGTAGTCAATTCAGGAGTTGTGGAAAAAAAATCAACCCACATTCCTCTCCCTTTCTATATGTATTAGAGTTATTCCAAGACTTCAGGAGTAAAATTTTAAAAACCCCTCTTCTTCTCCCTTTTAAGAATCTTGGCAGCATATCACAGACTGAACCAAAGAGAATCACTTAAACATAGAGAACAGTTTATTTTTACCTTGTGCATCTATTAACATTCTTAATGTTCCCAGCAGCTTGAATTGAACAGGGGGCATCTCCGATCTGAGAAATTTCAATACAGCTTCTGCAACACCAGCTGATAGCATCTTAGCCTTATTTACAACTGCATGAATAAAGAACAGGGATGATCTCAAGAGCATTTCTGGAAGATGCAGTTTATTTCCAAGGTGGCCTTGAAGCAAGCTTTCAGGCATGGTTTGAAACCTAGCTTTGGAACACAGACCTCAGGAACGTGAGTGAGTGCTGACAGAACTGTGTTGTGGAAAGGTGTCACAGTTGCTAAGACACAGGTGCGAAGTTAAGTGCTTTTCTTACCCTGTGCATCTGATTTTCAGTGTTCAGCCTGAACATAAACTGAAGGTTGGACTTTTCCCTCTCGGCCTAGGAAAGGGGTCTTCCAGAGCAGTCTTCAAGTAGAAGCCCAGGCTAGTACTTGCACCCCAAAATGACAAAACTCTGAGTCCCAGCAACACTTTTCTATTTCACATAGGCAAAGGAACTAAAGCATCCAATCAGCAAAATTACCTCTCCCCCAGCTCCAACACTGTAGCCTGACATGTCTGAAGCCTGCAGTCCTTGTACTGCCCCCTTCTCCCCCCAACTCCTTCATCTATGTTCTCCAGTTTTATAGAGCTCTCCGAAATGTATGTAAGATGCAAACTTGGTCCAATATTGTACTTAGATAAAAGTACTTATTTCATGGTCAGTGGTGTTTAATCACTGAGGCCTGTTCCTACTTGCTCATTTTTCTGTAATAATATGCATGAAATTTTATGTAGGTCTCTGGCAAACATCCCTGAGCATAGGCTACAGGAAGGCTTGCTGACTGATGGAAGTTAACAGAATTACTCAACTGAGTAAGGTAAGCAAGTGACATATAACTTCAGCTGTATGGGTTTAGGTAGGTATGAATGATTGTTTTTAGAAGCTTATGATTTGTCAAAACTGAAAATAGTAAAATAAGGTAAAATGGATGAAAGACTTGTTTTTTGGCTTGGCACGAGATAGCATACACAAGTATTAGACTTGCTTTGGTTTTGTGTGCATGTGCTCTGCCTTTTATGCTTGGGTAATCAAAATGTATACAAATTAAGTTACTAAAAATGACAGAATTAGTGTTCAGTTCATTGCCTACAAATAGTAACTAATTGCAGTGGGCTGGCTATTCTAACAGAGTACGTCCTGCTCTAATTTAGGAATTGCCAAAGCCTCAGGAAGTTACAGTAAGATGCAGTGTTTCAGCAGAGTGGGCACTGCTTTTTGGTGGGACCCTCAGCTGTGAGAGGGATCCCAAATGAAACAACCACAACCAAAAAAATGCAGTGCTTTGGACAGGAAGGACTGAGATATCATATCTGAGGCCTCCTCAGCTCTCTGCCTCTTACAAAGCTGCCCTTTCCTTGGTGGGGATAATCCTGTGGGATCAAAGTGGCAAATGGCAGTCAGTAGGCCTATGATGTATTTAAAACTGCTTGTCACCGCTGCTGTGCAAAAGACCTGAAAGCAGTGATGGGCCTGAATGAAAAGCAGCAGCCTGACCTGCCTCTAGACTGCCAGTCGGTTCTGCCACCCTCATCCCCTAGACGGATGCAGTGGGAGAACAGCATTTCACCTTCGGGAAAGCAGCAATGCAAAGTGAGGCTTACCAGGAATAGCCAGGTTTCTGAGAGCACTCAGTGCGGCGTGCTGCACCGTTACATTTCCGTCCTCCACATGTCTGTCTAGCAGATCCATCAGCTTTTGAACTATGCCATTATCCACCATATGGATGCAGTTTCCATCTGCATAAGAGAAGGCAAGTTACTTGGGAGAGGAAAATTATTAATAAGATTTTTACACGATCTTTTTATAAATAGGAGGATTATTTCCTTGCTCCTTTTAAGATTTCATTTTTGAGAATCTGACCACCATCATCAGTGGCAGTTGCAGTGCCCATGACAAATTTAGATGAGTGATACAAGGAATGGTGAAGAAGGCAGAAATCCCCTGTACGTCTCTGCACATGTGAAACAGTATTTTTATTGTAGGCTTGGTGCTTTTCAGGATTGTAAAATATAAAACTACTGATGTTGCTGTATAGCTCAATACCATCTTCTTACCATGACACCTAGTTTTTGTTTGTAGCTGTACAAACACAGAATGATAGAATGGCACAGATAAATTTACATAAGCTATTATGGCATATTCTTACCATTTCTGGCAAAATTTGCAATAGCCAATGCTCCTGCAAGCTGTAGCTGATGGCTGTTGGAAGGAATCCACAAAAGTACTCTTTGGAATACGCTGCCTTTTCCTCCTTCAAATAACTTTTGCATGGATTCATCTGGGGTGGAAAGCATAGACAGTCAGCAAGCCAAAATGTTTGTTAGGGAAAATGATTTTCTTTATTTTTGTGAAGCTCTGTTGGCTTCACTACAACTATTCAGTCCTGCAGTGGGATAGGAGACAAAACCTGACCTATTAAATGTTAACTGGCAGGGAGCAGGTAGAAAATTAATAAATAGTTAAATTCAGCAGCCAAATGGCATTCCAAGTATCTGCTGTTGCTTTGTAGAAGATAGCGACACAGCGAACTTACCTCCAAGCAATAATAAAACCATAAGATCAGAAGCTGTTTTAAGCTCTGCAACGTCATCCTCTTTGTCACTGTCCACAGTCTTCTGGACAATCTCAAGTAGGCACTCCACCAAGCCAGCTTCAACCAGCTGCAGTTTAATGACATCTGAAGAACAGCATGGATAATGGGCTCAGAATCATGATTTTAAATACATCTACTGTACATATACACAGGACGGACCACGAAACGAAGTAGCGATGTCAATGGTGGCACTGACAGATTGTGTAGATAAAACTGTGACTAATTTAAGTTCTCAGGGCCAACTTCTGCCATTATTCATCTACAGCCATTCCCCACCTCTGGACCACCTTTAGAGCACCACTGTACACTGTACGGAGCCGCTCTTCACCTCTCAAAAATGAGAATAGTTCTTTACAGCAAACTTCTGTCATCTCAGTCATCATGCAGCAGACTCACAAGGACTGCGCTGTGTTTGGCCTTTCCAAAGACTTTGGACTGTGTGGCAGAACAAAGTTAGGGTTTCTTACTCTATTCCACATACAGACGAGCTACCGAGTTCACTGAGACATACATGTATCAAATACAGCACTTCTGGCTGAAATCTAAGCAAGTAATCACCCATTTTGTTTAGCTGAGCCAAGATTTCTCCCATTTGTTGGAAAGGCTGCAGGAGGAGTACTGTAAGGCCAAATCCAAAAGGCTGGGTTGTGAGACAAGCTAATTTCTTAGTTGTTATTTGCAACAAGGCTCAACAGATAAGGTGATAAACATGTTCTTTAGGTGGTGAAACAGGGCTTGGGAGCAATATTTTTTGTGTTATTTCTACAGTACAATCTTTAACAAACATTTTCCTGTGAACTTGAAGCTAGCAATCTCCTTTACATGCCTAACCTCCCTTTCTGCTAAGTGGGAATGGCAGGTTGGTTGATGCTGTGTGATGTCTTCTAGTTATGTGGAAGTGATTCTGGTGGGTTTTGCATGCTGATTTTTACAATGCAGAGTCAGAACTCTCTTCAGAAATATGCAAACAAATGGGTTTCTCTTAGCTTTCTGCATGGAATGGTGTTTCAACAATGAGGAGTTTAAGTTCAAATATTTTCAAAGGCCAAAGCTTGTTGGATGTGCGGAAGTGTTTAATCTCTGGTGAAGGATGTGTCTGACTCTCAATTTCCTGTTATCACAAGGCTTTTTGCCTGAGTGATATTCATCGTTCCTCTAAGAGCGCCTGACCTTCCCATGAACTTTGTTAGGGAATGCAAAATATCCAGCTGAGATTTTTTAAATAGGCACTTTTGCACGGAGGTGCTTTAAAAAACAGAGTTCCCTTAGTTACAGAACACCAGGTTGCAGATGTTCTGTGAGATGAAGTATAAATTGGTACAGCAGTGTGCTTCAACAACAAAAAAACACAACCCTCAAAAAACCCCAACCACCAAGATCCAGATTTAGATGGTTTTCCTTCTTGACCTATTGCCTATTATCTATAGTCAAAAGCACCTAGACAGTACCCACACAGTGAGCTCGATTAAGTATGCCTTGAATCTAGGGTGGAAAAGTCTGGCTGACTACCTCTGACATTTAAGCTCCTGAGTTATGTTCAGCAGCAGTAAACTTACCAAATTGTGTAGCAATCATAAAATACAGTCTAAGAAAAATTAAGCATTTGAACTGAAATATGTCAAACTTGCAAAAGGTTCAACCCAATTCAGTGTCAGTCTCCAAGGATGGAACTATTTCTGAGCAAGTTGCTAGTTATGATATAAAAAATGAGTATGTTTTGGCAAAACGTGCATTTTTAGAACTGAAAAAATGAAACCTATATATACCACTCTAAATAATTTTTAGACTGAAGTAAAAATTTGTCTTGATTTATACTATGTAAACCAGACCCAGACAGAGTGTATGTGTACAACGGAGTAGGATGAAACCTAAATCTTTAGAATTTACAATCCTAATAATTTATTACATTCAAACACACTGTAATGCTGAGATGATTAAAACAAGATTATAGAGCCATCAAATACTGTGATGTCTTTCATACTCAGAACTGCTTCCCACTTCAGTTCACCTCCACCTGTTAACTCATTTCTATGCTTCCATTAAGGGCAGACGGAAGATTATGCAAACCACCCAGAACTCCTTGTGGAAGTACATCCTGGAGGGGTGACTGGGCACATACCACTTTCCGCTCCAGCTTCAGCAATGAGTGAAACTCAAGTCTCGTGGGGCTACTGTAAATTATGCCACCAAACACCGATATTAAATTCATATGATCTCTCAATGAACAATGAGGGAAGAGTGCTGAGCTCTTAGCTCTGCAATTAACGTGCCCCCTGCAAAAATAATGTCCATGGGTAATGGAACTGCCAGTGGCTCAATGATCGCAGGAAATGATGCAATGACCGATGTCCAGGTGCTATAACAGACTATGAAAACTTGAGCCAGTGTTTTGCAAACAAGTGTTGTAAAGCCATCTAAAAAGTGGCTTTTGATATTCCCACTGCAGGTTCAGGGAAATAAAATATAATCTACAGAGTGAATCAGAGGTGCCTGATTGTTATTGACAGGAGCCAAGAACAATTTGCTGGCTCCTGTCACATGCTCAGACAATTAAGACCTATTCACTTCATATAAAAATATCATCAAAAGGATCAGCTGTGGTGGCTTCTGGACAAGGCAGCCAGTTACTCTGCATTTAGTCCCTGAAAAAGACACCACTATACCAAATTATATATAAGGGAATGTATAAAAGATAGCGCAAGGAAAAAGAAAAATCCAAATCTCACCATTTTCTGCCAGGGGAGCCAAAACTTCAAAAATCATCTCTCTTTTATCATGCTCTATTTGCTTCTTGAACAGCTTAACAAGCTCTTCAGCAATGTTTGTGTAGGCAAACTGCTCTTTACTTGACTCTGTGAAGCAAAAGGAAAAAATCAGTATCAAGTAAACAAACCACATCAAAAGGAAGGACTCATTTTATTCTCTTTGTTATCAGGTTTATTCAGTAAGATGACTAATAGTGTTCTTCACAGACAAGAACAATAGACTTGGGCTTGTCATTAAATGAAAAGAAAAATGTCTAGCACTTCAGTTAAATGCACTGACCTGAACTGATGATAATCAAGGCTTTTAAAAGTACATAAATACATGGTCAATGCTGTTGGGGCTGTTTCTGCCCAAAAGCATGTAAAGGTAGCTATAGAAACAGGAACATTACAAAAATACATATATAGTCCTTAATTGCCCTCAGTTTAACAGGAAAACTAGCAGATTCTGTACTGCATTTTTCTGGGAGAGAGGAAGAGTTATAGTGAATGCTTTAACATTTACATGGTTTCACGATGGTGACACTTCCTTTGAAATCTGTGCATGGCTGTTGCAGGGTCATTTCATGCTAAACAGATAGATAGCATAAAGCAGCTTTACAGATGGGCTAGCTTAATACTAGGAGGTCAGCCAGTACATAACAGTTCTTCATATGTGGATTCAACAAAAGCACCTCTTGTTCCATTGCCTGTATCTTATTCCTCCTCATTGGCAGTATTACAGGGGATGCAGGTGGTAGGGCTGGTGCTCTGCATTCTTCAGTTGCCACCTCCTGAGAGCCATCTGTACTTAGAAAACCTTCCAGCACCTTTGCTACTGCTCTAATGAGTGGCTTGGGATCATTTTAAAGTAGAAGTGACCCAAAGGACTGGGGAAAAGCATAAAGTGCAGACCTAGACTCTTTTGCGCACATCCCATTATTGTTTTCTCTCAATATGAAGACTGCATAGCATATTATAAGTGGATTTTTGACCTTTCCAGTATATTTAAAAGCAGAACCATCACTCTATTTATTGGGCTCTTGCCCTGCTTTGACACAGAATAAGTTTCATATAATGCTTCTCAAGGGATCTGTGCAATGCAGTTGTCTCTTAAGTGATGAAAAATGACAACCTCAGAATAAAATTCCCTGAAGTTACAAGGCAAAAATAAAGTATTACAGTTATGATGTGATTGACTAAGCTATTCCTTAAGGGAGATTAAAGTATTACAAGCTAAATTAATTTTGTGCCAATCTTAAAGAACAAGCATCTTTATCTGTGTATGGGAACAGGAAGGCAAGCAGCTGCCACTAAGCTTCTTTCCTATGGTTCTTATTACCCAACTGGACAGAGCTGGATCTTTCTAAATGGAGAAAGGAAATACAGTTCTCAGTAGAGACTGCATTTATTGTATTTAATATCCTTATGGCATTAGTTGCATTTAAGCACTAGAATTTCCAGTATACAACTCATTATATTTTGTGCTGTGCCAACACAATACATACTGCCCATCTTGAAGATCTTTCACCTATTAATTTCTTTTGTGCTTTTTTGATGGCTCTTTCTATTGTAGATTTGCTAAGAAGACTTGCCTGCTATAAGCAAAGGTACTATGCATGTGATCAGACTGCACTGGAGAATGCTATGTTCTCTTCGGCCTTGAGATCTATGAATTTAGAACAATTGTGAGTAACTTGGCTACCAAACAGTACAAACTCACAGATAATTTTTTTGTGTTTTGAACTGCTGAATTGTCTTAGAAATACAGGATGTTATCATAACTGCTACACTACTGTACTCCAGTGCAAAAAACCCACCCCTCATATAACTAAAATTTCATAGAGCTGTTTAGCAAAAGAACAGCAATGTACAACACCAGTGATGATAAAACACAGGCCCTAACAACCAGTTGGTTTACACTTGGTGGAATTCCACTGAAAACTAATCCACTTGCAAAGACATTGGATCAAAGCAAGACCACAAACTTCAATTTACATGAAGCTGTAACTAAACTTGCTAAAAATAACATCTACAGCTTAATAGTAGTATTCATGGCTTATACACGCAAATATTTAGACTGGAACATGCTAAAGCTCTACATCTAAAACAATATTGTACAGGCAGATTTATGAACTGTGCCTGTGTCAGTTTCATTCAGTGTTTTCCATGAGCCAAATTCAATCTTGATATAACTTTGTGGAGCTACACTGGGATACATTATTTATATTATTAATAAATAATTCACAGTAAGTAGCTGTGCTCAGGAAATACTGTTTAGATGATTTAAAGTGTGCTTAGTTGCATTGAAGAATGTTAGCGTAAACCATAAGGTTGCTCTAAGTACCCAAATAAATTTCAGTTACAGGGGAAGACAACTATAGATTTTAGAGACAATAAGCAGAAACTGTTTGCTTTACATTTTGAATTCACAAAAAGCATCAGTGCAAAGCTTTTATTAGTGTTAATATTTAACTTTATGAAAACTGGATATAAATTTGAGATTAATATTATGGACTTACCAAGTTCTGCTAAATTGCCAAAAGCAACAAGGCACATCTCTGTCAGAGCTGCATTTTGGCAATGAATACCCAACAATTTCACTAATGTAGGAATAACACCCATATTGATAAGCTGTGACTGCAGGGTATCTACATAAAAAGAAAATACAACAGTGAGTTAGGATTTCTGTTCATAGTACTATTCTTTAAACCAAAAAAAGCATTTTTCACACAATGCAACTTCTAGGCTAAGCAGCATTACAATGTCTGTCTCCTCCACTATTCTACAGCAGAATTTGGTCCAGACTTGAGCTATGGACTCATAATTTCCCCTGTCCCTGGCAATGGATGTGTTCCCAGAAATATTCCCTCCTAATCTGGTCATAGGGTATAGTGAATTATGCAGCTACTGATAATTCTTTGGTTATCAGGTTGGGTTTCATTCTGAGCTCACTGAGACTAGCTGACTGAAATCAAGCAAAACTATGTCAGTGAAATCATTATTTGAGAGCTTGCTCCTATATACTGTTTTCCCTTAAAGATCAAAACTGGAAAATTAAAATTAGAATGAATATAAACTAGCACTGAAATAAACATGAAAAGTTTTATAAACACAGGAAGTCACAATGTAGATTATGAGGAGCTTGAGAAAAAAGAAAGTTTAATAAGGACAAAAACTGGAAGGTTTAAGAGAAGTCTTTAGAAGCCATTCTGATAATTTCTTGCATAGGATGAAAGTTTATAGTATTTACATGTAAGAAAGTTATTGCTCCTAGATGTCTGCAAATAGAAAGATGCTTTGATGGTTAGGCAGAGACATGATTGTTTTAAAAGATTATTTATAACGATATTTTCTCTTACACATTTTACCTATAACATAGCAAAGAAGAAAAACATTGTTTCACAGTTGAATAGAATGAAGCAGACATGAACACACCAGATGTTATTTAGTAATTTCCCTAAGCATCTTTTTTCCTTTGTTTTTAAGCACTTTAACTATGTTTAAATGTTACAGACTTCAATGAAGGATCCAAAGCCCACTGAATTCAAGAGAACTGAATTACTTCATTTAGCTTTGGGTCAAGGCCTACAGGGGAGTTCAGTATTACTTTTAAAGGAATTCATTCTGAGCAACTGAAATCAGGTGGAGTTTTTGTATTTCTAGAATCAGAGCCACAAAAGTTGCAAATTTTACAGGGAGATAAAAACATTTTACATCTTAAGGCTAGCAAATCTAGCATCATCTCATGCTCTCGGAAAAATCTTTGCCTTCAAGATTCTGTCAAGTGTGCTTTGAAGTTTTCATATAATAAAAATTATGAAAAGATTCTGGAATGTTTAGTTCATTTATATTCAGTGTTAAATACTTTAGTAATGATGATCAGTTTGGTACACTAAATAAGTAACTGGCATGGTTACTACAGGTTACCGGGGATAAGCAGGAATCCTTATAGCTTCACATTGTTAATAAAACTATATTACTTACCAGTAACTGAATTTCCTTTTTTTTGGGGGGAGGGGTTACCTCTTCCACAGATTCGTGGTCTTTAGAGAAATTTATGAGAAGCCATGTCAGACATCAAAGAGCTGTTGAAGTTGTCAAATTTCAGGTAAGTACAAATTGCACTAGCGCATGCATTGAATGCCATTTTATCTCCAGCAGATGTGTGAGTCACTACCACACCCTCCTACTTTGTTCCCAACTGACTGTAAAAAGCTGTCTCTGAATAGGAAAATCAGGGAGGGGGTAGATGGAATGGTTCTGTGGAGAAAATGATCATGTAGGAGAACTCGAGTTACTGGTAAATAATCTGTTTTTTGTCCTCGGTTTGTGATTGTCCCCTGTAGACACTTAAAAAATTTTGAAGGAAAAATGGTAGCCATGGAGAGTAGGAGAACAAAGACACAAACCACAAATGCCATAGAAAATGATGTGGAAAGAAATTGCTTTGTTACTAGATTATGCCTTTAGTCACTCTAAAATCACTTTGTCCAACTGTGATGGTCAAAGAAACAATCTCTATGGGCTTCATTTGGCAAAACGTTCTGACATCAGAAGCATAAACTCTATTTTCAGCAGGTTTTATTTTTTTTCTGCTGTCTCTTCCCGAGTACAAAATATGTGAAAAGCGCAGAGGAGAAGACAAGCAGAAAAAGGGAAACCATATCCATCTTTGAAAGATAATAGGAATTTTCAGAGGCAAGTAGAAGGATATATTGTTGTTCAAGAGAGCATGAGCACACTGATTAAAAGGCCTCTAGAATTCCCAAGTAGGAAAAAAGGAAAAAGAACACAGACCAAGAAAGATCAATTGTACTGGGTCAAAAGTCAGGTATTGCATCTGACTCTGTACCTCTCATTTGCCTGGACTGTAAAAACATGGCACCTGAGCACAGGAATGGTCTACAGAGGTAAGAATGGGATTATAGGAACTGCCAATAAGGTAAATATTGATGCTTTAACAGCGGTAAGTGAAAGGATAGATTTTTCTCTTTTGCTAAGGTCAGGACCCCTCTCCTAGTCACAAAGCTGCACAAGGGGCAAAACCTTTGAAAATAAAAGGCTGCCAGGGGTTACTTGCGATGTTTATTCTTAAACATGGGTTTGGCCATATGAATTCTGGGCTTGTCATTTTCATCTGTCATTACCACTAGTATGAGGCTCTTTCTCTAGTAAATACAAAAGCAAAGTCTAATAAGAGGAAACTGTTAGGCTTCTCACTGGTATGGAGACCTACAAAACTTTTTAGTTCAGAGAAATTAAAACCATCTAAGTGGTTCAGTCTTAGCTGAAGGGACTGCCAGTGGTTCTCTGGCTGTCCTATGAAAGACCGTAGACTGGGTAACTTGGAATAACTGCATGTCTCAGTCTTTCACTTCAGGAAGTGTTAAGGCCCTACTAGAGCATGAGACAAATTCAGGGGCCACATGCATCCATCCTACAAGCAGTTGCCTGACACAGGACTAAACTGAGCCATGAAACCAGGCAAAACCATGTCTTGGGATGAAACAAGCATTTTTATGAGCCTCCTAAGCAGAACTTTATGCATAGTGAGCAGGAAGCATGAAAACCAAATGCCTCTTCTGAATTTATGACTGAAAGCCACAAAAGAAACTCTCACAAATTATACACTGCTATCACACGTTGCACTAGTAAGAGGCCTCTGTGTTCTCTTGGGGTGAAAAGCACTGACAGTGATGCTGTACAGATGCATATACAGGTAGATAAAAGGCAATCAATACATGCGCCAGCACAAAGAATTACCTACCGAAAACTTGAATTTCAATGGCTCCATGTCCTTCGGTGACACACATGGAAGCTCCAAAGAGTAAGATCTGGGGAGAATATCCCAAATTGAAAACTTTATTGGGGGCATTTGAGTTTAAAATGCCGATTTAGGCTAGTTCATGATTTTGGATAGAACTTCAGAAAACAAAAGTCATTTTGTGTTTCATCAGTAACCGTGATTATAATGCTAAAGGAGAATTATTTTGTCGAAATCGGTGGCATAATTTCATACCCTAGAGAAACCTGCTTGTGATCCCCACATCTATGTTAAATCATCATACAGCATAAGTAATTGTTTTGATTACCTTACTATCATAAAAACCATACTTTTTATTTGGTCTTACATGCTTTAGGTTCCTTTGCATTTAAGTACACTTAGGTCTTGAAAGCATGCTAGACCTCTTTAGCTTTGATGTAAATGAAACAAAAACCATGGCAAGCACGAAAATAAGCAAAGAGAAGTCTTGGAAAGAGGCATTACTGAAATATTGCTGTTAGACCATAATAATGGTCCCATAAATCTCCTTTTCATTTCTTGTGCATTTACACAGCTTCTGCAGATACTAAACAGTGCAAATCAGTCCCCAGCATTCATTCATTCCAGTCACTAACAGCTTTGTGAGAATAAGAAGGGCTTGGCAGTTGTATGATTTGACATCAGAATGTTACATCTTACAAAGGCACCGAAAGAAAGACAACCTTGACAGACTGAAGTTTAATATGAAATGAGATGAGGAAGCAATTATAAACATAATTATTTTTATCTACATATATGCACCCATACATAAACATATGCATACTTTCACACATGCATGCTGTATCCAGTAAACTTCTGATCTCCAATTTGACTACCTAATAAGCCAACTGGCCTAGTTTTTCCATTATTTCTGCATTTCTTTAAAAATGCTTTTGTGGTTTCTTTTATAAATCTCAAGAGACAATTAGTTACCTTGTAGACTGATACCATTAACCTGTAAATAGTCTTGGCTCACAGGATTATGAGATCTGCAGAATCATAGAATAGTTAGGGTTGGAAAGGACCTTAAGATCATCTAGTTCCAACCCATGGGCAGGGACACCTCCCACTAAAATAAGAATAACTACTCATGTTGCCCTTTCACATGACTGTTAGTTTTATTAGATTAGCTTTTCATTTTTTTATCCAAGTCTGCTTTGCCTCTTGCTCTTAAGCAGATTGATAGCTATACACAGACTATACATAACAGTCTTCAGAATGGGAGAAGCACAACAATGTACTGAACCCCCTGAAAGGTGTTGAAACAGCAGCTTTAAGCCAAATAAGGTTTGCATAGCTTGTCAAAGAAGGAATTATTCAAGGGTTTTGTCAAAACCTTCTTTTGCTTTTGCTTTAGTTTGCTTATTTTGGGATTAAGCTATGAGCAAAACCATGCATAAACGTGTGTGACATGTTTGTTTCATTCCTACCCATACCTGCAACTTTGAATTTTAATAACTACTAATGGACAGCATGAATGAGCTATTCGTGCCAGACTGAATTTGGATAGTAAAATATGATTATTACAGAGAGGGTAAAGATGATAATCTGGGCTGAAGAAAAAGCGATGCATCCCATCCAATAAAACCCTCTGATTTTTAGCAATGCAATTAAAAATTGACACTTTCTTTTTTTAGGCTTAAAAGAACTGCAAGAGATGCCAAAGCCAAGTTTGTTCTGTTCACATTGTGTAGCCACTAATGAAATAAAATACCAAGGAGGCAAAGGGAGAACGGAGAGACAGCAGGCAAAAATAATTCCTGAACACAGCAGATGGCATAAGAACCTTGTCAAGAGAATCTTAAAGCTCAGATAATAGCATCATAAATGCAGTTACAATTCAAGCTGAGTGTCCAGAATAGGGACAAGATACAAGAATGCTCCATTAACCTGCTCTGTTTAGGAAAAGAAAATATAACTTAGAGCTGCTCTTTAGTTACTGTTTTTTTAAAAACTTGCGTGATAAATCCCTATGAAAATTGAAAAACTTAAAAGTACTCAGAAACGAGTGCCTCAGTGCTAAAAAAATTAGGTAGTTGATAGCTATTATAAAGTATTAGCTATTGGAAAAAGGGGGCAATTAGCTGACTGGGAATGATGAACTGTTTAGAATGAAATAAACCAATTTAGATACTCCTTGCTTGTAAAATGCTAAGGACTTGAAAATATTATGGTGTTCACCGACAATTAGATGCAACTAAGAACCCAATGTGCTTTAATTGTCCTTATCTGGATAGGTAGTGCAACTTACAAGAGAGCAAGTCATTAAAAGTGGTAAAGAAATCTTCAAAGTCCCCACTTGTAATTTTGTAACATAGCATGCTAAGCGGGGAAGGATTACAGAAAGAAGAAAAGAAGGTAGAAGTGCTATTTCAAAGGCTAAAACTTCCACCTTACATTTCTAATACTTTTTCTTTTGTCTAATTTGTTTCCATAACTACAGACAAAGCAATCTGGGACGCTAGGCTGCCATCCCATACTCCTCATCCTTCAGCAAAACCAAGGCAGTGTTTACCTTCTGTGTAAGTAACATGGGATGAAGTCTTTTAAGTGAATATGCTAACCTGGAGCACAAGTAACTGTCGGGGCAATCTGAGTTTAAGTCAGTAATGAATTGCATTTACTCAGAATATTATCCATCTGATGCTGCAATGCATGGAAGCAAGTGGTTGTCTTGGGCTCACATGTGACACTGACTGTTGTCTTGAAAGTTTAAAATGGTCCACAAGTGATATTTTTAGAGCAGTTCACATCTATGGTCCAATGGTACTTGCAGCTCTTAAGACAAAGCTGGCAAGATAGGTCACCTGCCTGTGTTGCCATTCACGTGCTGCAAGTACGGCCACTGAGATCTCTTCCAAAAAATTTAACCCTCTGACTCACAATTTATTTTTTTATTGATTTGGCAGATTATTTAGGGTTTAATTCAGTGGTTGTCCAGTCAGTGACCCAGTTTACAACGAAACTAGAGGACACAAGTCTTACAGAGCATACCCATGGGTGCTTGGCCAAAGAGGAGCTGAGTCCCCACCAAAAGGCCCTTTTTGATGGATGGAGAACACCAAATATGTGGGGTAGGGAAGGGTTTGGTAAGCCCCCAGCATTCCTCCCCGACATGGTGGTAGGACAGGGTAGTGCCCTGTGTCCTCCCAGGTCCAGGAGCTGGAAATACTTCAGCATTTCTCACTTCTGACACTTATTCAGTGGCTCCTGTGAATATTGCATCAGTTCATTAGTTTGTGTGAGATGAAAGGTGTTGTTTAGCTAGTGAATCCTCCTAGTTGTCACTGAACTACACAACTGCTTTATTGATTGCATCAGAATAAGCTGTCTTGCTACATGGAATAAGTCATTTATTCAATGTTCATAACACTTAAACTGTTCAGAAACTGCTTGTTTGGGAGATTTATCTCATAATTGTTTTCCTAGGGAAGATCTGTGGGGAGTTTGGTCACCAAAGCAAAACTGATACACTACCTCTACACAGCATTTTTGGACTCTTCTGTCTTGAGCTACCAAGTATACTGGATGCTTACTAGTTCTAATTAATCCAGATGATTCTGACAGTGTAAAGGTGCAAATATCTATTTGCTCCAAATATTTTAATGAATAAAGAAAATAGGGAGTTAACACTATGAAATATGATAAAATGTGACAATCATGCAGACATCAAGCAAAACAGTTCCTGAAAACTATATGAAATAAAGGCACTAGAAAGCTGCTATTTGGAGGAGAAGGAAGAATTGCTGTAAAGAAGTATTCTTTAATACCAGTGAAAGAGCAGAAAAAGGGAATGTAGGAACAAGAGATGAAGCACGTACAACAGTGGTATTTGGAGGTGGATAAATAACACTAAAAGCTGAGAGCTCCAGAGAATTGCCACAGAAAACACACAAGGAAACTGCTAGAAGAGATGATAAAGCAGATAAAAATGTATACAGTAAAGGCAAAACCAACAAAAAGTTAAGCTTACAGACCATCCTGAAAAGTAGAAGAGTTTGGGGGACACAGGTTTGGAAAGTGAATTACAGAAAGTGGTAACTTTAAGGAAATGGTGAGCAGCTAATAAAGAAGCTATTTCTTCCTAAGATAACACTACAATTCAGGAAATGGGCATGATTGAAGAAAGAATATAATTAGCTAACTACATTTGCAGTCTGTGCCATTGCAAGTCGGGAGAACAGCCTCTATTTAGCTTTCCTCATTTATCCCAATTTTCTCAGATTCAAATTTTGAAAAACTCAGAAATGTGTGAACACTGTAAAATATGCCTTGGCATATTACAACGCTTGTGTACAGAAGCCAACTCTATACTAAAATATCAATATGTTTGTACAACTGGTGTAGAACTCCTTTTTTTTACCCTTAGTGGTCAAGGACTTCTAATTTAAAATACTATCTTGTGTTTTTGTCCCATTCTCTAAACATCTCCATTTCATGGATAAAGAACACAAACTTGTGATCTGTAGACACAGAACACTGTTGAACATACACATAAATTATTCCTCATTTGCCTTAGAAAAAGTAATGTGGTTTTATATACATTTCACATGGAGAAAAACGACTAAGGAAAACTGCTTGGCATACGTACCCCCAAATCCACAACAAGACAAAGCTGCATGCCTGCAGCAAATTAATCTTATGGTTGTGCTTGATACTAAATGAAAAAGAGAGGACTTAATGCAGCCTTCTAGTTTACTTCTGTAAATCTGTTTCTTCCTAAGGCGTGTGATACATCTCCATGTATTGTTTTTAGACAAAGCAATAAATTTCAGATGTTGACTTTAGAACTTTATACAATACACTACATGGAATTCCATCAGGAAAATATCTAGTATTTAGGGGAATATAATTCTAATTGAACACAAAATTGCATACATGAATTGAGGTATTGATCTTTTCAGAGTAACTTAGTATCCACAGTGTAAACCTACAGTTGATTTTATTTTATCTCTTTCTTTGATGGGGTTGTTCTCCTGGTAGACATAAAGCAAATTTTTGGTGTTGTTTACCATTCTCATTGCTATAGTTCATCAGCATGCCACAAAAGACAGTCAAGAGCTTCTCACTGGCTGGATCTGTTTTACTGCACAGTGACCTTATATGGTCTACTACAATATGTGCACCACCTGCATGGTCAACTGCGTTCCTGCCCTCATCTGTAAAACAAAGAGTTACATTAAAAAAAAAATGAAACCAAAACCCATTGTAGCGTCCCGAACATAACAGTAATCATACAAAACAAAGGTTTTAAACAGAGTGAAGTCATTCTCCAATGTTGTCAGATTCACCTAGAGAGATGCTTGAGGTCCAGCTTTTAGTGCAATAGAGCTAGGAAAGTGAAAACACCTACAAGAAAAGGGATTAACCACCCGGCACTAATACCTTTGTAAGGAAGTTCTGTGTTTGAGGCAGAGCTGATAAATAATATCCTGAAGATATATTGGGTTTTGCCACAGGGAGGTTCTCAGCGCTTTACAAAGCCTGGTTCATACACCCTTGTGGACCAGGTAAAGTGCTGTTATGCAGGTTGAGGAATTGAAATATAAAAAATCAATTGCTTAGGTTATTTAAAACAAAATGGGGGGTAAGACAGACAAAGTAAACAGAGGTACTAATTTTCAGTCACAAACTCTGTTCAGGCACTTGTTCTGCCATACTGCAAGTTCCTTATATTTCTCTACCTGAAATTTAATACCTCTATCAGCTTATTTTGTATAGCTGAAAGAAAAATTTGTTCTGCATCCTTAAAGGACTACAATGTTCTGAGGTGTTGTAAATAACACACCATAATCTTTATATGGAACTCTTTCTGTATAACAAATCAGACTTGATGTACTGATGTAGGAATAAAGGAAAAATTGGTCTTCTATTACAAAAATCGACAATATTGCTTCCTTTCTCAGCAGGTAATCAGCACAGATAACAGTCAATAACATAAATTCCAGGGTTTGCAAAAGGAGATATTTCCAAGTGAGTTACAGTTGGAATCAACTGGAAAATCTGGACGAAAACAAACCTTGGGGGAAAAATACGATTAAAGCAAAAGTTTATCAAAACAAGAAGAAAAAAACCCACCTCCTCTCCTCAATTTCTTAATGGCCCCAAAGCAAATCTCATCTTTCCTTTGTTACTAACTACTCTGTCATCACTCCTCTCTGTCTCCGTCATACACAGGTCAAGCGATCAAGTTTTCTGCAATGTGTTCAGTATGAAAACCAAGGTTTCCCACATTTATAATATGATCTTTCACTTATAAGTGCTCAAGAGCTCTACAAAAAGAAGTTTCTAAATCTTCCAATTCTTGTTAATACTATTTATGAAGCATACATACCCATTACCTACTATAGATACACAAAATGATTACAAATACTGTATATAAACCTACATTGTATATATTCATAAATAGAAAAACACACATATATAAGGGGTTTATATAGGGACTTCAGATAATTTGCTGAGTGGAGCTGAAGGAGGAATGGTAATTCTTGGTGGATCTTACTATTTTGGTAAAAAATTTAATAGTTAAGTGTTTTGCAGAATAACTGAGATAGATATATGCAGCAGAGGAAAACCATCTCTGCCATGACTGTCTCTGCCTTGGGCATGACGGTGACATCAGGGGACCGTGTTTCACTGCAGGTATGTATATTCCATTTTGAAAAAGGAGAAACTGAAATCTGTTTACAGTCAAAAAAGATCAAGCTAAGATTCTGTGTCAAGAAGGAACTACTAAAAAAGGAGAAATATAAAAGAAATAAATCTCTCACATTCTTGAT